TTTTTATGTCTAGGTGTCCCATCACTAATCAGGGGCATTCTAGTCCATTCTTGTAACATTACTTTGTAAACATCTATATAAGATTATAGGGCCGGCTGAAGTGAGATAGCCGCCATTCTCAAATCTCCTTCTTTTCTTCTTCTTCTTCTTCTTCTTCTTCTTCGGTTGCTGTCCTCCAGCAAACATGCTTAATAGTGTACACCCACTTGAACCCAACAAGAATCTTATCCATGGGACATGGAACAATCTCCCAAGTCTAGTTCTTTATTAGGGCCTCCATCTCTTGGTTCATACCTTCCTTCTAGTGAACAGACTACACTGCCTCTATAACATAGCAAAGGATGGATACATAAGAAATGGCAAAACTATAGGCACAATAAAAAGGTGAGAGAACATTATAAGACACACAGTAATAGGATGCTTTTTATAAGTCATCTTTCCTTTATACATGGCATTAAGAAAATCAAGGTTAGGATCAATAAAAGAGGGTTTGTTTGGCAAGTCTTTATCGAAGATCTTCCAGAAGATCTGACAGTCAAAAGACAGTGTGAGCGTTTACATAATGATCTTGGTAGTCCACAGACTATTTGGTTGGAAGTGTGTCTTTCCACGTGAAAGCGAGAATTAAGCAGGCAAAGAAAGGCGAAAAGCTACATTTCTTGCTTCTGAAATAAGCTTGAATCGAGCTTCTCGTGTCTTTTCGAGGTGTGGTCTTTCGGTGGAAAGATCTTCCTCCAATCAAAATGGAGGAAGACTGAAATGCGGGCTGCTAGGCTTCTAAAAAGCCAACAGCCCGCATAGAAAGACATGCCAAATGGGGCCATAATTATTAGGGGATTCAAGATTACCTAATTCTAGTATATCAAATTGTGATGGGAATTCAGCTTTAGGAGACACCCTCTTATTGCGCTTGATGAAGAACTATTGCTAGGACCGAGGACAACACACAGGAGGAGGACGAAGAGAAGGAATATCATCACTATAAAGATAAGGAGGAGGTACAAGGCTAGGAATAGGAAGACAAAATGGAGTCTAATCTTCACTTGAATTCTCACCCTAAAGAGAAGGACGAGATGATTGGAAAAAGGGGGAGGATCCATAAAAGTAACATCCTTAGAAACATATCTCTTTCCAAAGAGAAGATCAAAACATTTGTAGCCACTATGGACAGGAGAGTAACTAAGGAATACATTGATAGACAATGTATGCCCTTAGCTCCAATCAGATTGATGTACAAATACATTTATTGTAAATAAATAAAAGTACATTATTTTTTCATGTTGCCATTGGTATGTTTCTATGAAATTATCCCTTAAACCGGACACTTATGAGACTTGTGTTAGCTTAGAATGTTCTCATCCATTGGATAGACTTAGGGAGTTTATCCTACCAAGGCTGACACTAATGTGCTGCCAAAGAAGTTGGGGTGTGCTAGGGTTAGACCTGAAGCACATGTAGTGTGTGTTTGGTTGAAACACTAAACCTGGACCATTTTCCAGTTAAGCCCTGGACCTTGGATATTGATGAAAAAAACTAGAAAGTTACACATAACCCCTAGACTTGATTATGGTACTGCACTAGGTGTCAGATTGGACTATCTTCGATATGCCAATCAGTGACATCCTTTGTGGGTCAAAACCTGGGTATGTTGAGGC